AATACTGGCGAAACACGTGTCTGGGCCTTTTTGCTAGTGCCTGGACTGTTAGTATGGTAAGTAACAGCATTACGGCAGTGTGTGTGACAAAATTAAGGAAGCATGACGGTAGAGTCAGTAGGGGTACCTCGAGGGTCGTCGATTTCATTGGCCGACCTAATGAAATACATTAAATTTCTACAGCGAATGATAAAATTATCAAAAATGGACCTTATGAAGAGAAAAATGGACACTTATTAACAAGACAGACAGTTCCAATGTTGAGGACCACTGTGAACCAGGCCTACTTACTCACACACACCTGCTCTCAAACCTCTGACCTTAAGTGTTGCGAATTACTGTGAGTACTGCACGAAATAGAGAGAGGAGAAACGTACACGATCTAGGCTTGAATCAAAGAAGGGTTTCATTGATGCAACAATGGAGGGTAGAATAAGTCGGCGACAATTGCCGTCTTCCATGAGGACAGACTTTATGCAACCTGTAAGAAGGCTATATGTATTCAGTTTTTGAGACTGCAGTGGTGAGTCAATGAACTTCTTAAAAATTTGCGTCAACTCCACGAGTGGATGGACGAGCGAAAGAGGACCAATGATCTCGGAGATGTGCTTAAAGAGGTGTCCCTAAAATGCAAAAATAAAAAGCAAACTAGACGTTAGGAAGGAGCGAACAGGACTAAAAAGGAAGGCGTAAGGAAGCATTGGACGAGGAAGACAATCTTGGAAAAGTTTAATAGCATTTAAACAAGCGAAATGACCAGATTGCAAAGTTCAACTGTTTAAAAGGAATAAATAAATCCAGCAAAGTGGCCTGGGGACGAATAAAGCTATATTTGTGACTGTAGACCTCTCGGAGCAAACTAGATGTTTTCGGGTGCTGTGAAAATGGTACAGAATACTACATTCAGGTTGATTCAAATTATTGTAGGAACTCAGGAAGAATACTGCGGACAAGGCAAATAATCAGAGTGGAGGTGTGAAAAAGATAATATTCACTTTGAAATGCACCTCCCCCTCGTTTTCTACCAAAAAGGTTGTTGAACCAGAGCTGATGAAAAAGGCAAAACTGTCTTGTAGGGCCGCCTAAATATCTAGGCCCCCACCCAACTGTCCAACGTAATTTGTTGTCAAACATTTAACCCTCCGTTAGCGAGTGTACATGAATACTTAATTGTGCTACAAGTG